GAGAGAGAGAGAGAGAGAGGTCTTTTAAAAAGAGAAGATAGGGACTGGGGATGTAGCTCAGTTGATGGCCTAGCATGCACAAAGCTTTGAATTCAGTTCTAAGGACTGCACAAATCAGGTATGATGGTGCATGCCTGTAATTTCAGTGCTCAGGAGGTGGAGGCTGGAAGATCAAAAGTTCAAGATCATTATCAACCCCAAAGCAAATTTGAGGCCAGCCATGACTACATGAAACCTTATCTCAAAAAACAAAACCCTGAATGATGGATAACTGAATTTCCCTGCATTAATCTCTCAGTCCTAGAGTTTACTAAAATATATTACATGAGTTGCTTCTTTTTTTTTTAAATTTATTTTTATTAGCCGGGCGTGGTAGTGCACGCCTTTTATCCCAGCAGAGGCAGATGGATCTCTGTGAGTTTGAGGCTAGCCTGGTCTACATAGTGAGTTCTAGGTCAGCTGGGCCTACAGGGAGACCATGTCTCAAAAAGACCAAAAACATTAAAAAAATTTTTTTTAATTTATTACTTTTATGTGTATGTATGTATTGCCTGCATGTAGATAAGTGCATCTGTGTAGTACAGTGCCTGTGGAGGTCAGAAGAGGCTGTCAGATCCCTTGGGACTGGAGTTATGGACAGTTGTTAGCTGCCATGTGGGTGCTGGGATCCGAACCTGGGTCTTCTGCAAGAACAGCTGGTGTTCTTACTGCTGAGCCATCTCTCCAGCCCCCGAAGACTAAAAATTTTTTTATTTTTATTATTTTATGTGTATGAGTGTTATTTGCATGTATGTAAGTGCACCCATGTTGTTCAGTGCCCATGGAGGACAGACGAGGGTGTTGGATTCCTGGGAGCTAGAGTTAAGGACCGTTGTTAGCCACCATGTAGGTGGTGGGATTTGAACCCAGGTCTTCTGCAAGAACAGTTAGTGCTCTTAACCTCTGAGTCATCTCTCCAGCCTCCATGAGTTGTTTCTCTTTGCAGCTAGGTAGAGACATCTGTTCATTTTATATATGATCTAACTTGAAGCAATATATATTGAAGACTTAAAGACTTTAAAGATGTATGAACTCTCACTTTTCCCTAACAAAGTGTAATTCCTTATGTATGCTCAGATTGACTGTAGTCAAAGCACTTTTTTTGTCTTTAGTTTGGTTTTGCAGTGCTGGAGATGGAGCCCAGGGACTCATGAATGCTAGGTACTGATGTCCTCGTGAGCAGTGCAAATACTAGAGATGTTTGGTTTTAGAGCACTAATTCCAATAGTATCTAAATTATGCACAGTATTCTAAAATAAGCAGTGTGTACTTGTGTAATAGGATGGAAAAATACCCTTTTGATGATTAGGTAATTTTTGTAGTGTTTGGGAGTATAAAAATACTGACTTTTGGGGCTGGAGAGATGGGTCAGCAGTTAAGAACACTGGCTGTTCTTGCAGAAGACCCGGGTTCGAATCCCAAAAACCCACATGACAATTAATAACTGTCCGTAACTCCAGTTCCAGGGGATCCAACAGCCTCTTCTGTCCTCTCAGGGCATTGCACGACATGGGTGCATTTAACCTACATGCGGGCAATACACGTATCCACATAAAAATAATAAATAAAATTTAAAAACTACTGACTTTTAAAAAATTATTGATCATTTGATAATGCGAATCTGGTGATACCTTTAAAACATGATAGTCTTCATAAAATTTGTCTCTTAGTAAGCTTCAGGATAGATTTCCTATATTTTCATGATAAGTTGAGGATATTTTCCTTAACACTGAATTCCATGTGTATGCATGTGTGGGTATATGTAAAAGTGCAGGTTTGTGTTGTGTATATGGTTGTGTATATGTGTGGAAGCCAGAGGTCAACCTTGGGTATTTTTTTTTTTAATTTTATTATTTTTATTTTATGTGTAAGAGTGTATTGCCTGCATGTATGTGAGTGCACCATGTTGTGCAATGCCTTGGAGGTCAGAAGAGGGCTTTAGGGCTTTGGAGTCCCCTGGAACTAGAGTTAAGGATGGTTTGTAGCCACCATGTGGGTGCTGGGAATCGAACCCAGGTCCTCTGCAAGAGCAGTCAGTGCTTTTAACTGCTGAGCCATCTCTTCAGCCCTGGGTGTTCTTTAGGAGCCATCTCTTGTTTCTTTGAGACAGTCTCTCAGTGGGACCTGGGGCTTGCCAGTAGACAGACTTAACTATTAGCAAGCCCCAGGAACCGTCTTTCTTCTATAATCCCCAGGGATTACAGGCATTCCTCCCTCCCTCCCTCCCTCCCTCCCTCCCTCTCTCTCTCGTGGGTTCTGAAAATCCAACTCAGATCCTCATGTCTGCATAACAAACATTTTACTGACTGAGCCATCTCCCCCACCCCATATATCTGAACTTTTTTATCAGTAAAACTTGAGTAAATTTTAAAACCAGAAAAGTTAGACTTGTAGATAAGACTTATTTATTAAAAATGGAGAGCATCTCTGGGTAGTGTCACATGAGTAGATAATTCAACTATTAAAAGAGTAAGACATATTTCTCTTAAAGAAGTTAACACTATTCTGCCATTGATTGAAGATTTTCCCACAGAAAAAGTAGTATGTGTGTCATTGAAATCTTGTTGTTCTTTCTTCTTCCCCCCTCCAGAAACTGAAAAACAATAGATTTAGAATATAGAAGCTTTTACATAGTAAAATTAAAATTTGTTTATATGGAACAAACTAAGGATTAAAACTTAATTTAGCTAGGTGTGGTGGTGCACACCTTTAATTCCAGTAGAGTCAGGTAGATCTCTTTGAATTCAAGGCCAGCCTGGACTACATAGTGAATTCCAGGGCAGCCAGTGTTACAGAGTGGGTTTTTGCTTGCTTGCTTTCTTTTCTTTTCTTTTCTTTCTTTCTTTCTTTCTTTCTTTCTTTCTTCACAAAGCCCAGGATGACCTTAAATTTACTATATAGCTTGTATTCCTGGTTTTCCTGCCTCCACCTCCCAGGTGCTAGGATTATAATCTGACATTACAGTCATGTGACCATTCCTGGCAAGACAGACACCTTTCTTCCTCTTCTCCTCCTCCTCCTTTTTTTTTTATTTTTGCTATTGTTTTGAAACAGTGTCTCCCTGTAGCCCCATCTGGCCTGAAACTCACTATGTAGACAAGGCTAGTCTGGAATACATAGAGATCTGCCTGCCTCTGCCTCCTGACCCTCCCCCTCCCCCTCCCTTTTTTAAGAGCTGAAGAGATGGCTCAGCAATTAAGAGCACTGACTTCTCTTCCAGAAGACCTGAGTTTGATTCCTAGCACCAACATGGCGGCTAACAACTGTCTGTTACTCTAGTTCCAGGGGATATAACACCCTCTTCTAGCCTCCAAGGGCATTAGGCATCTGCCACTGCAGCAAGAAGAAAATTTATTTTCTTTCTAAGGTGTGTGGGTATGTGTTTGTGTGTGTGTTGAAACAGGGTCTCCCCTGAGCTGGCCTAGAATGTGCTACATAGACCAGGCTGACCTTGATCTCACAGAGCTCTGCTTGCCTCTGCCTCTCAAGTGCTGGGATTAAAGGCGTATACCACCAAACATGAGTTTTGCTTTTAAAAATATTATTTTTTGAGTGGTCAAAAAACTTCTTATTCTAAAACTTGTATTACGCTGGGCGTGGTGGCTCACGCCTGTAGTCCCAGCACTTGGGAGGCAGAGGCAGGCGGATCTCTTGTGAGTTCAAGGCCAGCCTGGTCTACACAGTGAGTTCCAGGACAGCTGGGGCTACAGGGAGACCCTGCTTCAAAAAGACAAAAAAACCCACAAAACTTGTATTACAATCAATCGCTTGTTTTATCTTTGAACACTAGTATCTTATGCTACTACATTCCCATTTATTGACAAATGGGTAAATATTGATAGATATAAAAATAGCATTCACTTAAATACTTTGGTTTCAAGGTAAAATATTTTATTTTTATGTGTATTGAGTATATTGCCTGCATCTGTGTAAATGCACCCATGTTGTACAGTGCTGGAGAGTTGGCTCAGGGTCTTTAACATATGTACCACTGAACTATACCTGCAGCTCATTTTAGGTTTAAAAATTTTTTTTAATTACATTTATTATTTATTTGTGTGTGTGATGCACATGTGGAGGTCCGTGGTCTACTCTTCAGTGTGATTCTAGGGATCAAGCTTAGGTTGTCAAGCTTGGTGTCAAGCATCTTCATTCACTGATTCAATTCACTGGCCCTCACTTTAGGCTTAACATTGCATAACTCTCATTTCAGCTTTTTACTTACAATATAAGTGCAGAATTTGCTTTTTTGTTTTGTTTTTGGTCTTCTTTGTGACAGGGTCTCTCTGTAGCTCCAGCTGTCCTGGAACTCACTATGTAGACCAGGTTGGCCTTGCACTCACAGAGATCTGCTTCCTCCTGCCTTCCAAGTGCTGGGATTAAAGGCGTGCACCACCATGCTGGGCCTGAAAGAAAGCATTCTTTAAGCACAGTGGAGGATGAGAGATCTTCATTCTACCATGTTACTTTGTTACTTATGTTCCCTATGATGACTAGAGATGAGAAATAGTCCAGAAACTGGGAACACAGTTCCCACATCCTGACACCACCTATGTCCTCAGAGAGAGGCAGCACCGTTGCACATACCTGGTTAACCAACATTTTCTGGGACGTGTCAGTAGCATGATCACGTGATTTCTGTGTGCTTGCCTCACAAAAGCAGCACATAATCTCTAGTTACATGGATACACTGATACATTCTTTAGGATATGGTAATCACACCATTGGTGCCTGCTTTCAGTCTGTGTTGTACAAGATATTCCCACTTCCTGGTTAAATGGATCCACTTTGACCTTTCCTGTAAAATGGGAAGATCACAGGTGATGAATATAAAAACTGACTACATAAAATTACTGACCTATATGGGGATCTCACTTGCAGCCTGGCATCATGAGTAGCTCCGTTCCCTAACCAATCAAACTGAAGACGAAGGGCAATGCTCAAATGCATTTTTTTCCTTCAGCCATACATGACAACAAGTGTATTTCATGTTTTATGCATCTCATGGAAGAAGTAAGACACTGTATCACCAGCAAGGCTGAGGTCTGTGGTGCACCAATATTTGGGGAACGCAGGGATGGAAAGGTAAGGAATGAACTGGGTGGACTTAATAAAGTGGTTTCTCCTGAAAATTTCCACTTCTTATAAAGGTAGTAAGTATTCATTGAAAAATTCAATTAGAAGTTAAAAAGTCTTCCATTCCTCTATGCCCATCTTACATGTAGAGTTAAGGACTATATTGTTAATAGGCCTTTATGCTTCTTTTACCCCCCTCTATTTAAGACAAGAATCTCATGTAACTCAGGCTGGCCTCAAAGTTGCTAGGTAGCAGAGGATGGCCTTGAAATACTGATTCTCCTGTCTCTACCTTCCAAGTGCTGGGATTACAGGTGTGAGTCACTGTGCCTGAACGTGTATATCTTCCCAGATTTCCTATACATGCACAAAAAATATTTTTAAAATTACCTCAGAAAGAAGCTTCCATTGCACATGCTCGTTTGCTGTTAGCTTTTCTCTTCACCCTATGGCATACATGAGATTGTCAGTTTCCCTTTATATTCATCACCTGTGATCTTCCCAGTTTTACAGGAAAGGCCAAAGCACATCCATTTAACCAGGAAGTGGGAGTATTTTGTACAACACAGACTGAAAAGCAGATACCACTAGTGTGATTGCTGTCGAATGTCAGTCTTCCATTTATCTGTCCCCATCTTGCATGCTCAGTTTTGTTATTCAGCACATTTGATGAAATTTTTATTTGTGAATTGTGTGTTTTATTTCTAAATTCCTACTGGTTGTCTAGACTTTTAATTTTTCTTAGTGGTTTTATTTTTCTCTGTCAGGCCTTTTGTTACCTTTTAATTATTATTATTATTTACTGTTTTTATGGTCTTGGTGATGGGAACCCAGGACCTCAAGCATAATATGAAAGTGCTGTACCACAGAATAACATCCTAGTAGTAGTAGGATGTAGTTTTTTTAAGTGACTATATCCCTTGAAACTTGTATAGTCATTGTTTTTCCTAGAGCCGTTTGACCTTCTGCTTTGTCTTTATCTTTCTTTTTCCTTATTTTAACTTTTCTCAAGTTTTCAGCAGTACTTGATTATATATTTGAATAGTAGTTTGTTTTGACTGGTAAAATTGGTTAGCTAAATTGCCTTTCTTTTAGAGTTAAGTCCACTGTTTTCCTGGAGGGCAGACCTCATTTTGTGGTGTGGTGTGGTGTGGTGTGGTGTGGTGTGGTGTGGTGTGGTGTGTGTGTATAGTGAGGAGAATAAAGAAGGGCACTTGTAGAGTAATAGGGCAGCTGCCACATTTGCCAAGGGAAGCATGTTACAGTCTGAGGTGGCATTATTGTAGTTTATTTCAGTCTTGGACTGAACTGTTTTTTGTTTCTCATCCTCTTTCTCTCTCCTCTTTCTCCTTAAATCCATCATGGGTCTATGTTCTGACATTAGAAGCTTTATGCTGCCTTAGTCTCCTGCTGTAGGTTTTTTTCCCAGTTTATTGTTAGGTTATTTCGAAAGCAGTTTTCTAGCAAAGCCTAGGGTAACTTTTCTCTTAAAATGGGAATTAGGAGTGGCCACCTGGACAAGGAGGTGCCCTATGGAGGGAGAGTCCTGTACTGTACTACAACCCTTGTCATTGAAATGCCACTGAATATAGAGCCTTTAAAGTTTTTTCATTTACTTTAAAAAAAATGTGTGTGCCTGTGTGTGCCTATGTGTGCATGCACGCATATTTGCAAGTTTTGGTACACATGGTGGAGGTCTGAGTACAACCTTGGGGAATTCTCTTCCACCATGTGTGTCCTGGGGATTGAACTCAGGTCAGCAACTTTGGAGGTTGGGCCTTGACTGGCTAACCCATCTTGCCAGCCTATATAAAGCCTTTTTGAGCCATATCACTACAACTGTAATTTTGGGTTTCATTTTTCTCTAGTTTATTCATCAATATGAGCCTGTTGCCCACATTTGTGGTATCTTCAAATATTCTTAAAATTTGTGGGTAAGGTATACCAGCCTTGAGAAGTAAGTGCATCCTCTTCTGACACTTGACAGTAACTGAGGAAGCAGCTTGAGTCCATTGCTACTTCACTTTGCACTGTGATCAGGATTCCATGCCAAGGCATACTGTCTTTCACATTAGAGACCTTGTAAGAAATCCTGACTTCTGGCCTAATATTATTCCTACTGACATTATTTCTTCTTTTTTTTCTTTTCTTTTTTCTTTTTTTTCTCTTCTTTGCTTTTCTCATTCTCTCTCTCACTCTGTGTCTCTGTCTCTCTGTCTGTCTCTATCACTCTGAGACCTGATCTTTCTTTGTATGCTTGGAACCTGATAGGTAAACCAGGTTGGTCTCAGACTCACAGAGATCCACCTGCATCTGCATCCCAAGTGTTGGGACTAAAGTTGTGCACCACCATGCCCAGCACAGTTTTATTTTTTTAAGAAAAAATTTGAGATTTATTTATATGTGTATGAGTATTTTGCCTGCATATATATAAGTTTATCAAATGCATGTATGTAGTATCCATAGAAGCCAGAAGAGGGTGTTAGTTTGTAATTGGAGCCACACATAGTTAGTTGTTAGCTGCCATGTGGGTTCTGGGAACTGAACTTGAGTTTTCTGTGAGAGTGGCACATGCTGTTAACTTCTGTCTCTCCAGTCCCCTAAATCTTTTTTAAATCTCTGGACTTTGCATTATTCATTCAGTAAAAGACAGTTTCACATCTGTAATGCTAGCACTTGGGAGACTGAGGTAGGAGGAGTGTTCAAAGTTCAAATCCAGTGTGGCCTACAGTCCTGAATTACAAGTTAGCCTGAGCTACAGTGGAGAGAGGGGTGGGGTGGGATGGGGCAGGGGAAGAGAACACAAAAGTTTTTTTTTTTTGGGTCTTTTTGAGACAGGGTCTCCATGTAGCCCCAGCTGGCCTGGAACTCACTGTGTAGACCAGGCTGGCCTTGAACTCACAGAGACCTGCCTGCCTTTTCCTCCCAAGTGCTGGGATTAAAGGTGTGCGCCACCATGCCTGGCAAGAACACAAAACTTAAAGTTCTTGTGTATATCTCATGTCTGGGTTTATAATATTGCTTTGACTGGGTAGAGAGTTCTCGATTCAGTCAGTGTTTCTGAAGTAATGGGATCAAAACGAGTACCTATATAATCTTCTTCCCCAAACCAGAATCCTCCAGTCTAATCATGAGAAAAGTATCTGATAAATCCCAGCTGAGGGACAGTCCACAAACTACCATAAAACATCTCAGTTACAAGTCAGGACTTGATGTTTTAACCTTAACCTTGGTTTCTTCTCTTTCCTTCTCTATACTCAGTCTTTAGAATGAAGCTATGGTTCAGCTCCCACTGAAAAATCAGGGAGTTAAATACACTTCACCTCCTTCAGAGTAGAGTAACCATCTACATATCCCTGAAAGATTTGAATCTACCCCAATTCATATACTCACGTTTTTTTTCTGTTTGGTCTTTTTGAAACAGGATGTCCCAGTAGCCCCAGCTGGTCTGGAACTCACTATGTAGACCAGGCTGGCCTTGAACTCACAGAGATCCGTCTGCCTCTGCCTCCTGAATGCTGGGACTAAAGGTGTGCACCACCATGCCTGGTTCATATTCAGTTTTTAAAAAATTTTTATTTTATGTGTATGTGTGTGTTGCCTGTATGTAAGTCAGTGCACCTGTGTCATGCAATGCCTGCGGAGGTCAGAAGAGGCTGTCAGATCCCCTGGGACTGGACAGTTGTTAGCTGCTATGTGGGTGCTGGGATTCGAACCTGGGTCTTCTGCAAGAACAACCAACCAGTGTTCTTAACTGCTGAGCCATCTCTCCAGCCCCATATTATTCAGTTTTTTAATAAGTATAGAGTAAATATTTTACTGACATTTTTAATATGGTAGGAAACTAATATACAATCATCTCCCGTTTGATGTTTTCTTATTTCTCTATTGCAACAGGAGAGATAACAAGATCCAGTGGGAATACATGAAATCTCAGATTACTCTTTATACAAAAAAAACACCTTAGTAATAGTTACAAGTCACACAGCCTGCTGGGGTCATGTGATACATACCTGCTCCCAGCTTTATGTAACCTTGTAAAGATATAAGTATAGTTTTTGTTTTTGTTTGGAGGCAGGGTCTCACCATGCAGCCCTCACTGGCCTCAAACTCAGAGATCACCTGCCTCTGCCTCCTGGGTGCTGAGATCAAAGGAATGTGCCACCCCACCCAGCTTCACAAAGGAACATTTTTGTTACTGCTATTCTCACCTTTTTTGTTAAGATATGAGAGAAGTTTATAGGGAGCCACAGTTACCAGTAAGCACTACTCTTGTGCCTAAGAAAATTCTGCTAAAACCCACATTTAGAGTAGTTGATGTTGTAAGTGGTCCAGATTACCATTGGGCTAATTAAATATCTCAGCTAGGATTATGTCCTGCTTTTATGTATCAAAACTTAGAATTTAAAGAGATGTAGCCATTATCTGATGAACTGAAAATGAGCCAATTTGCCTTCTGATCTTGCCTTTAGAAAGAAAGGCTTACTCTACAGGTACTGAGAGCACCATTTAAATGCCTTTTGTTTTTCTTCCTTGGGGGTTTCAGTCATGGCTTCTGTTCATTCTTGGTCCTGGTTACCTTGTAAATGTTTTTTTTTTGTGTGTGTTCTTTACTCCTTTTTTGGTAGTCAGTGTTTCCCTATGTAGCTCTGGCTGTCCTGAAACTCTCAATGTAGACCAGACTGGCCTTGAACACAGAGATCTGTCTGCCTCTGCTTCTGCCTCTGTCTCCTCAGTGCTGGGATTAAAGGCATATGCTGCCTTGCTTAGCCCTGGTCTTTGCATTTTTTATAGCTTTTCAAATGATGATTGTAATTGACTGTGTTGCTTTAGTTATGAATGTCTGTGAAAATGTTTACTAGAGGATATTTGACTACTGAATTGTACAACTATACATGTATGTATACACACACCCCCATTTTCCCCTAAAGGACTTCATGTTGCTTTCTGCACATGTGTGGGATAGTATCTCCCATCTCAGATGAATGACTGAAGTGCCTTTGGATGCTGGTGTTAACTCAAGCAGTTGGAAGAGCACAGCAACAGTGGGGTTGAAAAATTATTGGTTGGTACAGTCTTTCCCTTTATCTTTGATGAACACTTTCCATAATAGCCTTTAAAAATGATCACAAATTTTAGAAAGTTAACAAAAGGAATTGCTGGTTGGCACAAAACAAACTGCAAAATTGTTTCTGTTGTTACTGAAGAATCTAGAAGACTGACAAACATAAATATCCTTAGGTGATGTTCTGGAAGACTATTACAGATTTTCTTATTTCAGCCCCATCCTGGTTGCCTCCTTATACAATCTTTGAACTTTACTCAAATGGAAATTGTGCCCTACTTTGCCTATACTTTCTCCATACATCATTATATGTAAAATTAATAACAGTCTTAAATTTAAGTGTCAGCAAAATTTATGACTGATTTTGTTTGACCTACACATTATATATTTTATCATGTTCAAAGAAATTTGTTCACTTTGGTCCCAGAAGTAATCAAATAGTTACATGACATTAAGCTTGCAAGGTATATGCTTAATTTTGATTTTTGATTAACATTTTCTTTTAGGTCTGACTTTGGGAGTTTTCCATGTAAATGTGCAGTTAGTAGAAATCAGAAACCATTTTACCTGCTTATACAAGTACAACTTAAGTAGGAGATTGACAGTTTTTGATACACATGCCTCTTTATTGAGTTTGAGTTTGTGTATTGGTTGTTCTTTTAACACCATACATTTCATTTGTTTAAAAGTTTGATAAACAGTTCTGCATTACTGTTTACTTCTAATCAGCTCCTTATATTTTGCCATACTTGTGATTTTTTTTTTTTAAATTTTAATTTTATTTATTTATTTTCGGCCTTTTTGAAGCAGGGTCTCCCTGTAGCTCCAGCTATCCTGGAACTCCCTGTGTAGACCAGGCTGGCCTTGAATTCACAGAGATCCATCTGCCTCTGCCTCCCAAGTTCTGGGACTATAGGCATGCCCCACCACGCCTGGCTTTCTTTTCTTTTCTTTTTTTTTTTTTTTAAATGAAATATATATTACAGGTATAGGTTGAAGGCTGTTTGTCATTGTCCAAATGTATCTACCTTCGTGAATTTAGGTACATCATTGTCAGGTAGCATACTGTGTGCTAGCATTTCAAATTTCCCAAATTGGTCTTCTGGTGAATGTGGCAGAACACTGAGAAAAGATTCATAACCACATTCTGTCACATGCTTATGATAATATATTTCAAGTATTCAGACATGGAAAAAAACCTGTCCATTTAAAAACTTAATCATTACCTTCTATGTGGTGTTGCTTGGAACGTACTCTGTGAAAACTGCCTAGAGGCATATCCATTTTGGAATTAACTTTCAGTTCTACTGTTTTTCACTAATGTAACTTTCTAGATTGGACAACAAACATGCTATTAGTAAACTCACTCTCAGTTGGTATTCATTATTGGATCGTGTTGAGAATGGTTTTACAAAAGGGGAAGATAAAATTCGAATAAATTCTACACTTACTGACCAGTGCAGAAGTTGCTTATGCTCCTTGATTTCCCCAATTCTTGAGTCTTCTGTTGTTCCAAAGTGCCTAGCTATGGACTATGGCTTTGTTTGTTTACCCTTTGCTTTAAACTGATCTGTTACATTTTATGTTTTTAAGGCTGGCAGTAGCCTGAGTTTGCTGTTAATGTTTAACACATTTTTTTGAGTGACTCAGAAAATTCTTAATATTGTACAAGATGGTACTTGAATTCTGTTTGCCTTTTTTCTTCCTGTATTAGAAAACCTTGGTGCTTTTTGTAAGTTATGTATAAAAGACATTCTTCTTAATATTTGTTCATATAATGACCTGATCCAGGAAAAATAAAATGGGAAAATGGACACTACTGACCTGCAAATAAAACTCATTATGTATTGGTTTTCGGACTGTTTACCCAACCTTGGGTGATATGCACCTTGTTAAGTCAGGGCTGTTTACCTATGTGGGATAACAGGCCCCATGATCTGATGAGGTTGTGAATGGGGAATGAGGACCTGGGAAAATGCAAAGGACCACAAAGATTGCAACAAATGTCATGGAAGCCAGGAACTTCTTCCATGAAGGGAAGCTTCAAAAACAGACCTCCATTCTATACTGGCTTCAAGTTTTCACACCACACTTACACTTTTGGGTTAGGAAATAACAATGGAAAATTTTCACTATCTGCAAGAGCCCAACACATCTGTTCACCAGCTTAACTAAGCCTAAACATCACGGTTATTCTTAGAACTTGATAGTTTATTGTTTTTTTTTTTGTGGGGGGGCGTTGGGGGGATCTTTTTGAGACAGGGTCTCCCTGTAGCCCCAGCTGGCCTGGAACTCAAAGAGCTCCACCTGCCTCTGCCTCCTGAGTACTGGGATTAAAGGTGTGTACCACCATGCCAGCTAAGCCTGAGTTTTCTTTTTGAAAAACATGTATTGTTTCTATTTTTTGTGTGTGAGTGTATTGCCTACATGTATGTAAGTGCAGCTGTGTCATCCAATGCCCACAGAGGTCAGAAGAAGGTGTTAGATCCCGTGGAACTGGAGTTTATGGACCATTGTTAGCTGCCATGTGGGTGCTGAAATTCGAACCCAGGTTTTCAAGAACAGCCAGTGCTCTTAACCGCTGAGCCATTTCTTCAGCTCCTGAGTTTTCTTATAAAATCTTCTTTAAAAGCAATCTTTTATAGATGGGAGCAGGTTCTCATGCAGCCAAGGTTGCCCTTAAAATCTTGATCCTCCTAATTCCACCTCCTGAGTGCTTGGATCCCAGGTGTGTGTGACCAACACCCAGTTTTTGCCATGCTGGGGATGGAACCTAGGCTTTTTGTATGCTAGGCATGCACTCTACCAAACGAGCCACAGCCTCAGCCCAAGAATCGCCTTGTCATTAGGAAACTTAGCTTCTTTGCATTCTGTGTCTTGCTATTTAACACATGGTTATATAGTGTATTTTAAAGTGGGGAGATACTCTTTTTGTGTAAGGGAGGAAGATCTAGAAAGCTATCAGGTTTTTTTTAAGTGGCAGGGAAACAATTCAAAAATAAGATAATAGTAACAAATCAGATAAGCTGCAACTGAACCAACAGACTTCTTGAGTTAAGAGTATTCAAGGGCCAGTTT